GGCTGAAAGGAAGTGCAGCTAATGCATGAAACAAACCACTATTGCATAAGTTAAAAAGTAGCTATAGCTGAGAGAAAAATACTGAGAACCTGCCATAAAATGAGACACTGAGCGACTGGTGGTCTCTGTGTTGATCACCGTTCTGTTTAACATTCGCTGCAAGCAATCAGTGTGAAAAAAACACCCCTTTCATTCTCTTTGACTCAGAGGCCTAATGGCTTTTTTAGTAATGACTTTGTGTCTTCAGCGGCACAAACATCATTAACCCGGGCCATTGTTATTCTAATCTCTCTCTGTCAGTGGTCTGAGAGGCAGAGCCCCTGTCCTGCTGAAACAGTTTCCTCATTGTGAACCCGGCGAACGGGGGGAGATAGAGGTATTTTAGCTGCTGCCACCTGAGTGGGCATCAGCAGCCAGGAAGCCTTACATTTAGGGTGGTCCAATCCACCATCTCCCAACCGCGTCCTTCTGGCTCTCGTCTTTATGTGGTCCTAATTCTAGCTCCCCATCCTGCCTCCCTCTAGCCCCCTTTCCCCCGTCTCTCCACACAGCCTCTCTCACAAAAAGCCCCTCACACGATGAACAAAGTTTCACTGGCCCTCGTTTGTTGACTTATCTGGCATGGCAGCAGTTTGCCTTTCGAAAAAAAACGAAAAAAAAACTAGTTTTTGGGAGGTGGCGGACTGTTGTCGCTTAGTCGGACACAGAGGAAGACCTTCTGCCGCCTCTTCCATGACTTCAGCAGGTGCAGAGACAAACCTCAATGACATCTTTGTATCGGATGGAAGATTTCGGGTCGTTTTTAATGGCTCTCCTGGCCCATGCCACGTCCTCCACGTTTGCCTTTGTGGAAACTGAACGTGAGACATTAGCAGTGACAGAACCCGGAGGGGGCAACCATATATCCTCAAGTGACACAGACACCAAAGGTAGTTGATTTTTGGCCTCCGTGGCTGCCTGTCACGCTGCATTTATCACCAACTGCTCTTTACTGGCTGTACTTATTCATGTTGGTTCAGTGCTGCCTCCAAGCCTAGTGTACAATAGAAACTCACAATAAGTCCCTTTTCAGTCCATTAGGCTCCAGGATAAAGCATCTCTGAACTCATTTATCTTACTATTAACCAGGGAAGACCTATTATTGATGTAAAGAAAAAACCCATTACTGAACCATTGTTGGCTTTAAGTTTACTGCATCCCAGATCATCACAGGTAAACATTCAAGCTGTGCAGTCGGGCAGTTGAATGGTGGAAACGGCAACAAAGAGATTTCCGTTGCTGGCAGTTCTTAGAAAAGTACCCCAGATTTATGTCCACTGGGAGTTATCCAGAGCTCTGCATCCACCTCTAACCACATGTTGCTATCAGATGTGACTATTCCATGATGTAATTCTCTCTGTTTGCTTATTTAAATGCAGTTTATCCCCCCCAGTGCTTGGAGTTTGTACATTATTGTGCCCACAAAAACATTTTCATATTTATGGTCAGGGTAAACTTTAAACAAGCCAGTTCATACAAACTATCTATTCACATTTCCGAGTGTTTATAGCTGCAGTTTATAACACCAAATTAAAAGGAAACCTAACAGCCTCCAGCTACAGGAGGGGTCACGATGTGTCGTACATATGGTGGGAACAGTTCAAACTTCTAAGTGGGGAAAAAGAGGAAGCATGTTCACCCCCTGCTTAATATCTCAGCTGTGTGCACTTAATCATTTGCTATATGAGGTAAGGTTTAGTCAGGTCACAAGTTACTGTGGTTACTGAGATCAGATGATTTGAGGAGGGAGTTAAGATGTTGAACTTTGATCTTTACCAAATGTTTGTTGTCTGTAGGAGTGGGTATCAATGTGTAATGCTCATACACTATTAAAGGTACAGTGTGTAAAATCTCACCACTAGATGTCAGTAGATTGCAGTAATTCTGACGTGATTTGTTCAGGATATCCTGCACTTTTCTATTTTCTTTCTTTCTTTCTTTCTGTAGTGGATCTAACATTGCTGGACTCGGACAATTAGCAAATAACATCTCGTACTATGTGAGTATATAATCAAACTGTTTATCAGAGGGGAAAGTGTGAGTTTTAGGACACTTCAGCTAACATAATCTAGCATGAAGTTAGATCATAAGCACCTGTTAAACTGCAGGAATGCCTTAGAGACATAAAGACCTGGATGACCTCTAATTTTCTGCTTCTACATTCAGAAAAAATTGAGGTTATTGTACTCGGCCCTGAAAATCTTAGAAATACGGTATCTAGCCAGATTCTTACTCTGGATGGCATTACCTTGGCCTCCAGTAACACTGTGAGGAACCTTGGAGTCATTTATGACCAGGATATGTCCTTCAATGCACATATTAAACAAATATGTAGGATTGCTTTCTTCCATTTGTGCAATATGTAAAAAATTAGAAAAATCCTGTCTCAGAGTGAAGCTGGGACAACTAGTTCATGCATTTATTACTTACAGGCTGGACTACTGTAATTCTTTATTATCAGGATGTCCTAAAAACTCCCTGAAAAGCCTTCAGTTAATCCAAGATGCTGCAGCAAGAGTCCTGACAGGGACTAGAAAGAGAGAGCAGATTTTGCCTGTATTGGCTTCTCTTGATGGCTTCCTGTTAAACCCAGAATTGAATTCAAAATCCTGCTCCTCACATACAAGGTTTTGAATAATCAGGGCCCATCTTATCTTAATGACCATATAGTACTACATCACCCCCATTAGAGCACTTTTCTCTTGTACTGCAGGCCTACTTATTGCTCCTAGAGTATTTAAAAGTAGAATGGGAGGCAGAGCCTTCAGTTTTCAGGCCCCTCTCCTGTGGAACCAGCTTCCAGTTTGGATTTAGGAGACAGACACTATCTCTATTTTTAAGATTAACAATAAAAAATAGAATTCTATTAGTGTTTTTATCATGTGCTTATGCGTTACCATGGATAGCTGCTGCCATAAAATGGAGCTCTTTACAACAAACACTCTCAGTAGCCGCATAGACACCAGCGGTTTTCCCTGACTCTTGCGTCCTCGTGTGATGGATTGTTTTCATCTTCATCTAAACTAAGTACTGGTCGACTATTTTCATCCTCTCCCTCGGTTTGCTCTGGTTCAAACTGGAAAGGTCGAACAGAAGCCATTTCCAGTGCGCTGCTAATTGTGAACCCGATGCGGTGCAACCATGTGACGTCACTACCCAGAGTGCATTGAGAAGGAAACAACAAAGGCGTCCTACTGGTAAATCGGTTTTATATAAAATGTAAAAGGAAAACATTTGGCGTATTTTAATACCACATATATATTATTGAAAGCACAATGCATATTTTAGCGCAAACATGTCTTAATAGCTGGGGTTCCTTTTAAAACCTTCCTTGTTGCTAAAGCATATAGTAAGGGCTGGATCAGGTGACCCTGAATCCTCCCTTAGTTATGCTGCAATAGGCGAACACTACTGGGGGATTCCCATGATGCATTGAGTTTTCAGTCACCTTTCTCACTCAACATGTGTTAATAAACCTCTCTGCACTGGATCATGCTTCTTATTAATCTCTGGCTCTCTTCCACAGCATGTCTTCTATCCCTTCTTCCCAGGGCAGCTGTGGCTACAATGTAGCTTGCCGTCACCAGTGTGTGAATGTGTGTGTGAATGGGTGAATGACTGAATGTAGTGTAAAGCGCTTTGGCGTCCTTAGGGACTGAGTAAAGCGCTATACAAATGCAGGCCATTTTCTGTCTTCCTTCTCTCACCCCAACCGGTCGCGGCAGATGGCCCCGCCCCTCCCTGAGCCTGGTACCGCTGGAGGTTTCTTCCTGTTAAAAGGGAGTTTTTCCTTCCCACTGTCGCCAAAGTGGTTGCTCATAGGGGGTCATATGATTGTTGGGTTTTTTCTCTTGTAGGGTCTACCTTAGAATGTAAGGCGCCTTGAGGCGGCTGTTGTTGTGATTTGGTGCTGTATAAATAAATTTGAATTGTATTGAACATGTTCTTGTTGTTTAGTCGGCTTGTTGTGAGCTGTATGGAGATTGGATGGTTGCATGTCTAATCTGTTTCGAATAAGTATTTCCGACAATATCAGAAATAGATGAAAATGCTGTTTTCTCTTTCCTTCACCTTTTCACTTCTTTGGTAAAAATCTTCTTCTTCTTCTTCTACATATTTTGAGTCTGAAGATGCAGACATTAATTCAAATTTCCCTCCACAGCCCGTGAACACCTATGAGCTCTGTGTTCAAGATGGCGGGACAACATGGCAACTTCCAACAATCTGTTCCTGTGTACTTTTCATGAATTCATTCTAAGTTTATGAGAATGAAAATATTTTCTATTAGCTTTTAAACGTCACTTACTAGACAGTAAGGCACTGACAGCAGCCCAAACCACTGTGGCTAAAATTACAAGGCAAAGAGCTCTGGAGAGTGTAAAGGAAAGTGAACAAATGTACTATAAAGTGGATTTCTTAGCTAAATTAACTGTGAAAAAAAATATTTATTCATTATCAAATATCGATTTATTGGCCCTGGATCAGACGGATGGATCAATGAATGGATACCATCTAATTAGTGATCATGTTTGAGGCTGTGACTCACCATCTCTCTGTAATCATGCATGTTATTGGCATGTCTTTTCTATCATTCACAAATGTGCAGTGAAAATGCTCTATATTTGTTATGCATGGTGATTCTGAGCCTCACGATCAGCCACCATTAACCGTTCAATCAGACTCTCAAAGCGTGGACGGTGTGAGGCTTTATTATTTCTGGATTCTGTCCCATGACCAGAGTGTTTGCAGACTGCAGTGGATTTCATGGAGCTCACAAACGGTGACCTCAAACAATGTGGGGTTCTGTAGTGATTCTGGGGCCTAAGCAAGCCCAGCTGCACCCACCTGCTAATAGCTTTACTGGCCTGGCCCAGGGCTCTGACCTCCTACATTGCAAAAAAAACCATCCAAAGCATTAGATTGTATATTTGTCTGTACGGTGATATGGTCAAAAAGCCTAATTTCAAATTTCCAAATCTTTATTTAGTATTTAGGCAGTACAAATTTAAGCGTTCCAAAATCACCCACAATTCCAAAAATATCTTCAATCCTAGAAATCCTCACTGTGATTTTCTTTCTTGGCAAAATCTAGTTACATACATCAATCATTACGAATATTAAAAATTCATTTTTAAGGTTCTTACAAGGCCAAAACAAAACAACTCTGACCTCTTGAAGTATAGACTCCAGAAGAGATGGGGTGCACATGTCAAAGTGAGGGCCCAAAGTTTCCAAGCAGCAACATTGATCCCTTTAATGATGCTAACTTTATTATTCACTTCACCCAACAGCGGTTATAATATTGTGGCTGTAAACTGAAAACTTCCATCACAGCTTTTATTGCATTATTATTAATATTATTGCATATTTACATTTACTTTTTTTTTTTACAACTCAACTCAACCTATTTGAAGTTGTCTTATTGTTTCTGCTGACCTTGTTACACCAACAAACTAGTTCCTTCCTTTTTACTGATATTAATGATATCAATCACTGCAATCATCTATAATTTCTTCTTTTGTTTTCGTCCTTGTTGAAGGAGGAAAACAGCGCGGCACCCAAAATTGCAGCGGCTACACCTGCCACAGCGACGCCTCCAATCACAGCTGCTGTTTGAACCTATGGAAAAAAGCACAATAAAGAGAAAAGCAGTTGTGCTGGTTGTTGGAGGGAAAGCAGTTATTGCATTGTTGTAGATGTTGTATTTCAGTGCTGACTTCCACAAGGCTGCAATAATAGACAGTAAAAACAAAATAAAAAATAACGACCATGTTTACATTCATTAAAAATTGAGCAGCTGCCACGTTGCATTTTCTGATTGAACACCATGAAAAATAAGTTTTTTTAATGCATTTCAGAGAGCTATTTATGGCAGCGAATGTGACAAAACGGGTTGACTAAGCAAGCTTTTTTTGGAACTTGCAAATCAGCTAATCTGCCGTTTGGTACATAATCAAAATTTATTCAGCACCACATCTGCTTCTAATCATTCATAATAGATTGTGTTACATCTTTGTATCTTTACAATGAATGAGGCGCTTAGATGATAAACACATCCAGTGCAGGTGCAGACAAACACCAGGCTGTGAATCACTTTGATAAAATCATTTCTCACTGAAACAGCAATAAAGTGTTACTGTTGCTCTTCACTGTTGGTTTAAGCCATGTTCAGCTTAACACAAGAGAATTCACAACCCATTTGATCTCACAGACTTTTCTTTTAGGTAGATCTATAAAAAAATCCCTCACCTGTCGGGACTCTGGCTTTCCATAACGTAGCTCTGTGACAAAGTGTTCACAATTCTGAGTAGCGATACAGTAAGGCAGCTCTCGACCGACCATCCTGCAGGCATCCCTCACAATGGCAAGAGGCTCACGAGGACTGTACTCATCATCCAGAAGATTATTGACCTCAAATTTGCTGGAGCCGACAACTTCCCAGATCTTCTGACGCCTCACCTGCGCCTTACCGCTGTCTAGTAACGTCAGCAGCTCACCGAAGAATCCCAACTCACCACCTGGATGTGCTTTTTTTGGAAGAGGAAAAAGGAGGTCAGAGAGACACTAAAGCAAGATCTGTGAATTATGTAGGGCACGTTAATGTGTGTTGGGTTTTGTGCAAGTTAAAAATGTAACACTCACTCGGAGGCAGTAAATGAACAACTTCATTTCCTCCAATGTAGACAGCCCAGTGTTTATATGCCTCCCGAGAGATCTCGATAAGGTCCCCTGGCTTTGGCTCTTTGTCAAACTGAAAATAATGAGAAAAGGCAGCACTCAGTATAAACAGACAAGTGAGCTAGTAAAAGCTGACTAGAGGAAGAATAAAAATCACAACGAGGTGAAAATATGAGTCGCCTAGTAATTTTCAGATATTGTAATAATGTATAATATATCAAAGTTGTTTGAATCTCTTTGCTGTGGCAAAGAAAAAGGTTAGCATAAATTCTGAATTTTCATATATCAAAAAATAATTAGAATTTGACCAAGTAAAAGCACACAACATACCAATGTAGTCACAAAGGCACAAAAATGCAGACTTAAGTAATAGTAAAAGCAAGGAGAGGATCACTCACCAGTGTTGGTGCCATGGCTACACCTCTTCAGTCAGCTGGTGGGCACGACTGGTAGCGAATTTACTCTGACTGGTACTGAAACGTAGCTTACATTTCAGATGGAGAAGTGCTAATATGCAAAGACAGATTAGATAAGCGCATTGTTAAATACCACATCAAGGCTACATGGTCTAAATTTGCAAATCATTAACTAGAAAAGCCAATGAGACTGTTTTTTTAGGTGGTTGCCAAGCAGCGCGCAGTGCGAGAAAGGGTAAGTTTCATTTCTTGTGAACTGTTCATTGGATTGAGCCTTCTACAATAAACCAAAGTTCATTGTAAAGAAGGTGAAAATCTACAGCAACAAGGTAAAACACCCCAACATCAGACATATCCAAGACAAACAACTATTGTAAAGACTTTAAGGTCCGTCTTAGTTCTCAAATTATTTTTTACTCATAATTCAAGATAAAAATCAATATCCTGTACATTTCAATCTGGGATTTTATTTAAAAGACCTCTAGCTTGTTGACCTCAAGCTGACGTTGACTCAAAGGAACTAATGAAATGTTATTGTGGAGTAAACTGACTGAATACAGTTGCAAATGTAATGATTTTAGGTGTTTATATGTGGTTTATGGTCTTTCATGCCTTATAATTTATTGACAAAATAAACATTGTTAACATTGGTGCAAAGTTAGTTTGTTCCATAGTGTGGCAGTTAATGCATTTGCTTGGAAATTTGAAGGTCCCTGATAAAATTCTTGCCCAATGCACAAAAACCCTTTGGGTTTGCGTCATGAAGGGCATCCGTTATAAAATTCTGCCAAAGCAAACAGCTGGAGCAACCTGCTGTGCCATTTAAGACAAGGGAATTGCTGAAAGTAGCATTTATTACCTTTAGTGGTGTGGTCTGTTAAACAGCAGCTATATATTAGCATTTATTTGGAGGCAGGTAAGCGTACTAAGAGTCCAACATTATGATCTGTAGAAACTCTTGAGCACTGCGTTCACTAATGTGTGACTAAAATTAACAGTCTACTGTTTCAGATTAATATTATCTGATCAAAGATATTCTGACACAGGGCTAATGTGTTAGCCCTGATAAGGATAAGTGGAAAGAATGGATGGATGGCCAAACTGGAAGTACTGAAAACTGCAATTCCTCAAATGGCCACTTGAGGCTGACTCCAAGTGTAATTAACCCCCATGTTAAAATGCCTAACTTCAACCATCTTTAAGTCCAGTTACAGGTTTAGTCTCTAATTTCTCTCTATATCAAACTGATCTCAGCTTGCACACTAGTTATCCTATCCTGATACATTACTGTGCCATTGGTTCAGCTATGTGAAAATGCTACATCCAGATGAACAGATTCAGCTTATTGAATATAATATGGCATGCTATGTTCTTGTAGGAAAGCATATCAAGTGAAACTGAAAGTGTCCAAGTAAAATTTTTATATTTCATTTGTGTGTTACTTTGTCTTAAGGCTCCAAAGTGGCAAAGTAGGGAAACTGCAGCTGAGTAATTTCTCCTCTCTCTGGTTTTGCCATTATTAGAAATCTCTTTTTATTGCTTTCCTTTTCTGCATTTTGATGTAAGACCTTTACTGAACAATATTTAAAACTGCACATGTATAGCAACAGCAGGTGTTTGGTAACATCAGCCAGAAGAACCTGGAAAAAAGCTTTGTTTCATTATTATTGTCCGGAAAGCATCCAAGTCAAGAGACCTGGAAGTTAGATTTTTCCCCAGTTCCTCATTAAGTACTTAAAACAGGAAACCCTCAATCAGACCAGCACAGGGAGCTCCCTGGCCTTTTAGCTTTAGAGGATGTTTGGAGGAATTCCCCACAGTATGATCAATGCAGCACTTTTTTTTTCATTAAATACAGCTGTAATACACTATGTCCTGCACTGTTGCCAAGACAAATTTTTTCTTTCTTTTTTCTTTTTTGCTGTTCTACTGTCTTCTGGCTGTCTTCACCTCACTGACAGCAGACAGAAGCCAGAGGAGAGATTTGACACCAGACACTGAACTCCCTCCTCATCTGTTAGTTCTGGCTTTTAACGCCACACTTGTATACCTCCCATTTATTCTTCTGACCACCATAGGTACCCTACACTTTTGACCTCTGTGCTTTCTCACTGAAAAAACTCACTGTTATATACTGGGTTTAATCAGAGCCCGAGGCAGAGAGGAGGGCTCTCATCTTCAACATCTGCCCCCTAATATTCTTCCTAATCCCTCTCTTGTGATGGTCTCATCTTGTGTGACTGATGAGCAGCAGTAAAACCCTCAGTAATCTTCAACTATTGGACTTTTCCCACCTTTCCTCCTGTACAGTCAAACCCTTTTCTCCCAGTGCACACCACTTATGGAAGGTTCTGGCAGGCCCTTGTCAGATGTTGGTCTTTGATATGCTAATGCTGCTCTCTTTTTCATGGCTTTTTTAAGTATTGACTGTTAGACTTGCAAGCGCAGCACGATCTTTGGCCTGTTACAGTGAAAGAGGGAGGAGATTTTGTTGGGAGCGGATTGCTAAGTCAGTGATTTGCGCTCCTTTCCCTCACCGAGTCTTAAAAGGAGAAACCACCTCAATCAGCTGCAGAACAATGAACGTTCAGGAATTGGTGGCGATTGCAAGAAGCGGCAATCCCACGGCTGACACGCAAACGTTCACGGTGCATTCGGAGAAACACTTGTCCCCTTTTGTAAAAGGCTTAAGTTTAAGGTAGCTAAAGTGCGTTCTTAAGTGAGCAGACCTTTTTTTGTGCAAATAAAGAAGCACCAAAAACACATGAATGACTTCGGGTCACATACAGGGCAAGAGAAAAATGCACATTTTTTGTGCAGATTTATTTACTTACTAATCAATAACATATGCTGCTGCTTTTAAATCAAACATACTAAATTGGATTACATGGCAGAGAATAAATATAAATATGAGGGTCTTTTTTGAAATTTTGTTCCAGAATTCTGAAAAAACAAATTCAAAACATGTTCTGCAAATAATTGTAACTAAGTATCTACTTTGAAAGGCTAGAGGCATAAAAAAAGGTTCCATAACATTTAAAATCCTTTAGGAGAGTGTAGTCTCCTTGTGGAGAATATTATATTTTAATATAATATATTTTGGAGAAAGAGAGAATTTCAAAATGCCTGTATTTTGGTGTCTCAAATATCATATTAAATTCTGGATTGCAAACTCAGCCTGAACTACTTTCTTTCTTAACAGAACAAGCTCAGCTGAAGTTGCCTCCTGTGCCCATATTCAACCACAAGTGGATCGTAAATCACGCCGACTGTTTGGCAGAAGCCATGGATCATTGTACAATGGTTAATTAAAGCCAAATCAATTTCAGTGCCAGTGGTCTTTTTTACACTGTTTCTACAGAATGCAGTCCCACGGTGGAGTCAGGAG